AAGTGAAGACTAGATGGACTAGGTTTACTGAGAAAGAATAAGAGAGAGATAGAGGTACTGAGTACCCAATATCAGGGTGACAGGATGGGACTAATGTGTGTACTACAGGGTCATAACCAAATGTAATGCGAACCGACAAACGTCGGCAAAGTGTGTATATATGATGTATATAGCGACATAGGGAAATAGAATAGGATAGGAAAGGCGCTGTGAAGTTAATTGAACCTAGCATTCCCTCAAGTGTTACCCTCTTCCCTGACGACTCCAGCACCTCCCGAAGCTTCGGCGAATTGCGAGTTAAAGCCAGGACCAGTGACGTAAGCGATCGATAAGTTTACTGGAGTTTTCTTGACATAACAAGATGGTGGCAGCATACTAAACCTTGTGACAGAGCGGGACACCTCCACGCCCCCCTGTCACCACGGCGTAACAAACTGGTGACAGCGGTGAGACAACCAATCCACCCCTGTCGCAGGAGCGTAACAGTGGTGGCAGCGGTGGAATACCTCCACGCCCCCCTGTCACCACGACGTAGCAAATGTAAAGTTTACTTCGTGAAATTACCTTTAATTTGAATTTAAGCTCCACGCTATGAAGACTTATGGGAGGTGGAGGTGAGTGGTCAGCATCACGCCTCGACAGCATTAACCCTCGGAAAAGAGCACTTCATATCCAGTACACATGTACGGGGGGCTGGATGGGTCCCAGAGTTTCTGTGGACGCAGTGGAGAGAAAGAAAATCTCTTGCCCCCGGTAAAAAATTCGAACCCGAAGTCATCGGTCGTCCAGTCCGCAGCCTGTTCGCTATACTGACTACGCTGCGGCCGAGATAGTACTTCATACTTGGATATGCAGAAGCTTGTTTTTCAGAGTTCCAACCCTACTCGCTGTGACGCCACCCAGTCTGGTTTTCCAGGTACTGCCATACGCAGAGAATTAATAACTATTGGAACATTCCATATTGCAAAGACAGATATCCTTGAAACCGTTATGAGAGGAACCTTACAGTGTACGCACGATATGTCGCGAACTGCTGCGCACACGGTTATAATGGCCTAGAAGCAGGGAGAGCACTGTCGAGAACACAACTAAGTAACTAACTAACTTCATGGAGCTGAACCCTTCTTCACAAGCCGCCAGTTGTGCAGCTACACAAGACATTACCAGCATTTTGTGTAACCCGAAGGTTCATTACCGTGTTTACACGAGCCTCCAATGGTCCCTATCCTGAGCCAATTCAATCCAGTCCATACAACTCCCTCCAATCTCACTAGCATACATTTTAATATATTCACCCATCTACGTCTTGGTCTTCCCAGTGGTCTCTTTCCTTCTGGCTTTCCCACCAATATCCTATATGCATTCCTCTTCTCCACCCATTCGTGCTGTATGCCCTGCCAGTCTCATCCACCTTGGCTTCATCATTCTGATACAGGTTATGAAGCGCCTCATCATGCAATTTTCTCCAATTTCCTGTCACTTCATCTCTGTTAGGTCCAAATATTCTCCTCAACACCCTGTTCTCAAACACCCTCAGTCTATGTTCCTCCCTTAATATCAGAGATAAAGTTTCACACCCCTACAGAACAACAGGAAACATTACAGGTTTTTATTATAATTTTTACGCTTTTAGACAGCATACGAGAAGATAAAAGGTTCTGGACTGAATGGACCCGAATTCAGTGTCCTCTTAATTTTCTCGTGAATAAACTTTTGATTTGTTTCTTCTTCTTCTTAGGGGGTGAGACTGAGTCCACTCGGTACTGCGGCCACTACTGGCGTACTGTACCAGCCCCAGAAGATAGGTGAGGGTGACTGTGGAATAAAAATTGGCAAGGGAAACCAAAGTACTCTGAGAAAATCTGCCCCAGCGCCACTTTTTCCACCATGAATGCCATGCGACACGACCTGGGCTCGAACCCGGGCCACCGTTATGGGAAGCCAGCGACTAACATCTTGAGGTATGGCGCGGCCTAAGTTCGGATTTGTTACTGTTGTTCCTAAATATTTCAACTGTGCCCATTTTTAAAGGATCTGTTTCCTATCTTTATGTCGTGATTTTGCCCTGCATTTTGGTGATGAGACAGCAACATATACTTAGTTTTCTCAGTGTTTACTTCTAGACCAACCTCCTTACTTGCGTCAATTAAAGTTTGTGTGTTTTTCTTTATGGTATCTTAGTTTTCTCCCAGTAGATTGACATCATCGGCACAGGCCAACAGCTGATGTGTCCCGTTTAATTTCAGTCCAACCTGCTTTCCCTGGATCTTCCTAATGGCATATTCTAAAGCAAAGTTGAAAAGGAGTGGCGATAAAGCATCTCCTTGTTTTAGACCATTCTGGATAAGAAATTTATCAAACAAATGTTTATCTATATAGACTTCATTGTTAGTTTCGTTTAAACACATAGTATTCAGCCTAACTTGTTTCGTGGGTACCCAAAACTGTATGAGGGTACTGTACAGTACTTCCCTCGTAATAAATGACAGACATGTGTAGTCACTCTGAAGATATTAATTAGACATATTTCAAGAGATACGGCTCAAAAAGAAATATAAAAGTGTCCATGTTAGAATTATCCGTTCAAAGTTTGTCAGATTACCCTGCAAGTTTATTCAGCAAATTAGTAGATGAAGAAAGCAGTCTTCTGGGATTTGGCACCGTGTATATGTGGTGTTAACCGACGTTTCGGAGGAACGTATCGCCCCCATCTTCAGGGTTGAAGAAGTATAAGTAAATCTGCAAGCGACAACACCGTGAGACACGGTCAAGCAGACTAAAGAACATACCGTTGAGCAGAGAGGGAAGGGGATGAACTGCAAGTAAACAAGTGAAAGCAGTGGTGTGGGAGGGGTGGGGGAAGGGAGCCGGGACAAGCGTGATTTTGTGTAGGGGAGAGTGTAGCAAGGTTAAATGGCTGGGCTTTAACTGTGAGCTGAGAGTGGGGGGTTGTTATGTTGGTTGGTCATGGCCTTGTGGCTTCCTGGATCTGGCGTCATATCCCGGTGGGTGGTTTTTAAGAGAACAGATAAGGGGTTTCCAAGACTTGCTGAGACGAAACCCATCCTCTCTGTTCATATTCCCTGGATGCAGTTCGATCTCAATGGCTTCCCTAATGATGCGATCCATATAGCGCGTCTTGGTGGCGAGGATGGAGGTATTCTGAAGCTGAATTCGGTGTCCCAGTTCCGGCTCCCTTCCCCCACCCCTCCCACACCGCTGCTTTCACTTGTTTACTTGCAGTTCATCCCCTTCCCTCTCTGCTCAACGGTATGTTCTTTAGTCTGCTTGACCGTGTCTCACGGTGTTGTCGCTTGCAGATTTACTTATACTTCTTCAACCCTGAAGATGGGGGCGATACGTTCCTCCAACACCACATATACACGGTGCCAAATCCCAGAAGACTGCTTTCTTCATAGTCACCGCCGTGAAAGCCTCAAATCTTACAAATTAGTAGATGTTTATGAATCAAGGTTCATTTCAAAGACCTTTCGCAAGGACCTCTTTCAGGCAATTCGGGGCTACACTAGGCGGACATTACGACAGTTCCAACGAGAATACCACGAAAAGTGTTTCCAGGATATCGTGTTATTTACGCAGAGTTCGCATGCGTAATTCAGTACCCTTGCGTTTTGTTTAAGAGGTCAGCAAATACACGGGAATAAGTTTTTTGTTCTGTAACACGCGAAAATAACGCCCAGTGAAAGTGCCCTGGGTACATTTCCATATGAGATAGGCGCGTTGTTGTTTCAACGTGGAGTCCACATCTTTTTTTTTCCTTGGCACTACAGCCCCAGTGGGCCTAGGCCTACCTCCATGAACTTCTCCGTTCACTTCGGTTTTTCTAGATCTTACACATTCGGTAGGACTCCTTGGGCGGGTGATCAGCTCGCCGCAAGGCCTCTACCTGTACACAAACACAGAAAAACGCACACACACAAACTAAACATCCATGCCCTGAGTGGGATTCGAACACACGATCCCGGTTTCCAAGCGAGCGAAGACAGTACATGCCTTAGACCTCTCGGCTACCGTGACCGGTAGAAACAAAAATATAACCGTATACGATTCACAGATGTAATTAAAATTACGAGTACCGCTGTCATCCTGTACTGATAAAAACCGGGATTCGAAAACATTATGTTATGCTTCTGTCGGTATGTTCCGCTACAAACCTGCGTGGTCCAGTGCCTAGCAAAACACATCAAAAGTTGATTGCGTTTTATAAAAGGATTTCTTCTTCTGTCTGGCAAGGAAGAGTAACAGCCAATCCCAAACAGACTAACTACATATAAGAGTAAAAAGCGAAGGCACGGATCATCTACGAATCTTGTCCTCATTTAGGACAAAGGATTATTCTCCTCTGTTGTTTACCTTTTGCCCCATCTCTTCACTGTCAGATCTGATCTGTCTCTGGTGATATTACTCAGGAACTACACGAACCGTCGGCGGGTCCAGTGGCCGTGCGGTCTTACGTGTCCAGCCGAGTGTTTCCATGGAAGTGCATGTATACTACTCCCATGGTAAGCCGTTGTCGCGGGAACGTTGCTCGTTGCCTAGGAAACGAAGTCAACTGTTCCGGCCTTAAGGCGGCACGCCAAAATATATTTGAAGTAAAGCACAATAGACCATTGAAGGTCGCAGTGCAAGGGCTGGATTATTATGGTCCACCCTTATGCATTGATTCATATATTTGAAGTCCTGTGTGCATGTGTCTGTGTAATTTATCCATGGTGGGAGGGAAGCTTCGAGTACTTAAAGTAGCGGCATTCCCAGGGTGCAGATATTCTGAAAGTTATCGAACGTTACATTTTGAATCACGTAAATATTTGGGTATTATGAAGATGCGAAGACGAATTCTCAGAACGTGTTCCTTTTCGACATACTGGACATTCTCCCCTCAAATTCAGAATAACGCAGGAACACAAAGACCGTATCGGACAGACGGACAGGGACAACAAGCGTGTCCGTAAAATAATGTGGATTTCAGGCGTACTCACATAGTTGAGAGCGAGGTCCGGGTGGTTGGTCTGGATGCCGTCGTCAAGGATGGACACCACGACGCCCTTCCCCGTGTATCCTTTCTGCCAAGCCGGCGCCACATTCATGTCGAAGCCGTCCTTGGCGCCGCCATTCTGAAAAGTCACACCACAATTTAGTTCATCATCACTCAATACCTTTGGTAGAAATATGAGTCATTCTGAATGCCCACAAGTAGCACCACTAGTCAACAAGCTACGAGAGACACTTTCCACCATGTCAAAGATTTGTGTACTGAATTTCGAGCCAAAATAGCGGGCCTTGTTCAGTTCTATGCTTCTTAATGTTCTTGTAATTTCTCTCAGCCACAATGTGGAAAAATTGTGTTTTATTGTAGAATAAATTCATCCTCAGTTAAACAACTTATTAATTCAAATTTCGTAATAAGTGATACGTATATATATATGCCGGTCACGGTAGCCGAGCGGTCTAAGGCATGCACTGTCTTCGCTCGCTCGGAAGCCGGGATCGTGGGTTCGAATCCCACTCAGGGCATGGATGTTTTGTGTTTGTTTTTCTGTGTTTGTCTACCGCCCAAGGAGTCCTACCGTATGTGTAAGATCTAGAAAAATCGAAGTGAACGGAGTTCATGGAGGTAGGCCTAGGCCCACTGGGGCTGTAGTGCCAAGGAATATATATATATATATATATATCACACATGTGCCCATTTTGGGTCAACCTTCTTCATCTGGTCACTTCAATAGCTTTTACAGAACCGTAGCCTAAAGGCCCCATACTTCGGATAGTTAAAGGCAAGAGCCATATATCTGTGGACAGCATCATGAACCATTAGTACTTTGCTGCGCTCAGGTAGCTTATGTGTCTGGTATGAGAATTAGTACTCACTATCATCTAAAACTCAACATATATTCAAAAACTGAATAAAAGCCAAAATGGTAGCCCAATTTCGGATAGGTAACATAATTTTGTAAGAACCGTTATTCATAAGGGGCACGCGGTAGCGTAGTTGGTTGAGGGACTATGCTACAAGCCGTAAGGTTGCGGGTTCAAGTCCCGATGATGTTATTGGATTTTTTTCAGTTCAACTAATCTTTCCAGCCGCACTATGGTCCTGGGGTCTACTCAGCCTCTAACACAAATGAGTACCAGGAATTAATTAAATAATTTTCCTGGGGAGTAAAGCGCGGCCGGCGCATAAGGCTGACAACCTTACCGCCATCTTTGAGCAGATTGTCTAGATAATGTGGGACCCTCAACGTCTCACAGCCCTATGGGCCTTCACGGGCTGTTACAGGGACAGCTTTACTTTTTTTACTTTACCGTTATTCAAGAAAAAGAAATCTAATAAGGAGAAACAAACAAGTGAAACATATATATGGCTTCAGTACGTGTAAAAAGCGTAGTTTTATAAGAAATATACGGTCATATTTCAAAATAACAATTACATCAACACATTGTGACATGACGCCTGAAGATTGTAGTTGTGGAGCCACAGAAGACGGCCGCTGGTAGGCAACAGCTCAGTAAACAGGTTTCCGCGTCAACTGATAAGCTAGCAACAACAGAGGAATTGCTGGGAACGATGTTCTCTGTTCGGTCCGTGTAAGGTGGTTACTAAGAAGAGTTCAGGTGTGAATAGTCAGTCGAGTTCCCGGAGTTCCAAATGAGCAGTGAGTCTAGAGTTGGGCTCTGCAAGGAAGGCCGAAAAGATGGCGCTGTGAGCTCAGTTGACAGGCGGGCTATGAAGAGAAGACTTTACGTGTGCTATAGTACAGCGATATTTGGAGTGCGTTATTCAGTGAGACTGTTGTAGCTCCTTGTTCAAATCCGTTGCCAGGAAACGGATAATGGAAAATGTAATAGACTAAGTACACTAGTGCGTGTAACAGTGTTGAAATAGCGACAGTGTTATAGTTGTTTGTAGTGCGACCTGTAAGTGGTCAATATATTCAATAATCTGAAACCTCGTCTATAGTCATACCCCAATAACGTGACAGTAACCACACAATTCTCAACACAAGTTAACATATCAAGTCATGTCCTTATATGAATGAAATAATATAGAGTTACAATTCAAATACGGCTCCACAAGTAGGTGTTTCAGGAGACCAATTTTTTTGCCTTTTACAGACTGAATTGCACTTCTCATGGAGTCTAAGCTCCATACCTGTAACCGTTTTTCTTCGGTTCTGCCAGCCCCGGTAGAGCAATTCGACTCCTCTCAGGGCGTGTTGACTGGCCACGACTTGGGTGATTAGTGGGGCTTTAGGCGTAGGGAAATCACCACAACACCAATTAACTGTATGGAGTCTTTATTAAATTTGCACTAATTAAATAGAACAGCACCGTAGGGGTACACTTCAGAGATTCGTGGATGTAGGCTTACTTACTGTTCTGGGGACGCACACTTAATAGTTACCACAGGGCGTGTTTACGGGGATCCGAACACGTGTACCCCCGGTGAACGTAACTTTCAAAGTCTCTTTGCCAAGCACCCTCTGAATGGTAAATATTTGCCCTAGTTACCCAAAATTCGGACAAAGGACCTCCCACTTCAGACGATGATTGGCTGGACCGGGCAGACTGGGAGGTTTCTTATCATTCTCCTCCAATTAGGAAAGCGAATATCCACTAGTGTACAGTTTAGGGGTGAACTTTGCCACCTGCTGCGTGGCTGTCAAACTGAGATTTTGGGTTAGCAGGAAACGACGCTGCTAAATTTATGACCTCCCCTGTCAAGTTTAGAATTTCTAAAGAACTCGGCCTTGTTACGCATTAAATTAACTGATTTACGAAAGGGCAGCTGGCTTCAAGCTTGACCCAAGCCACTTGCTGCATGTCTCAAGGGGGGAAAATTCCAAATTGTGAGGCGAAAGTGAGGAATTTCACAAAACCCTAACCATACACAAACATCAATTGACCTTCCCATAAACTGGACAGTTACATTCCTTCCTTTTAGTATCATCCACCTAAGAATGAATATAACACAAACACTATGGAAAATAAGGTTCCTAGTTTCGGATACCCGGAAGTCGTAACCATGTTGAGTACCGGAAATTAGGCAACCCAGTAGTGATATAAAC